TACGCACCGTACCCAAGTAATGCTAATTTCCTCGTACTGATGGGTCTATTCAGATGCAGATAGAGCAGATAGATACCTGGTGCACTCTTAATTCCAAAAGATCTCAACATGGCGGCGATCCGACGCGTCAAATAACCTCGCAACAAGTGCAGACGTTCGCACACGGGATATGGAGGAGCCTTGCAAATGACGAAACACCAGCACGCTCAAGCGACTCAAGCCTACAGAGGTGATTAGACTGAGCGAAAGAAAAAATCAAATTTCGAGTTCGGCGGAGTGGCCAACGTGGGGATCGAACCCAAGACCTTCGCGTTATTAGCACGACGCTCTAACCAGCTGAGCTAGTCGGCCTGTACCTGTGTGACTTTCGTACTGCATGTCGAGGCGAGGTGTCTGTGGCGCATGGCGCGTGTGAGACAAAATTTAAATTGATTTGTAATGGTCCTATGTACATTGGGATAGCCCGATGCAATGCGCATAGATATGATATCATGGTACCTAGGTTAATTTTCTAAGAGAAAAAGGTAAAATGATGGTCAGCGATGTTAAAGGCCCTGCCAGGAATCGAACCTGGGTTTCAAGAACGCTGAGATCAGAATCTTGAGTGATAACCGCTACACTACAGAGCCACGTGCTTATCACTCGATAATCGACAATTGTGTCAAACTCGAGCATTTCGACGCGTATGTGGACAAATCCGTTGGAAGAGGACGCGTCCGCTCGCCTTGCAAGTCGCGTTGAGTATGTTTTGGAAAGCTTGACGCGTCGTCTGGGTCATCACGTGCGTTCATCAACATCGATGGACATTGACCTTGACAATCTCCACCCCGGCCCTCCGTCCATGAACTATGCCAACCCGAGATTCTATCCGCATCTCAGGCTTGATACATGTCACCATCACAGACCTCGACCACACCTTCATATTGGGACTCGCAAGTACGCCCGTGAATGCTCCGTGCCAGGCTGAGCATATGTATCTCCTGATATATGTCGAGGCGTGCGACGATCGGCTGGGAGAGGCGCTGGTTATGGTTCAAATTCTGTAAGTTATCAGCATGTGCGGTGCGTCATTCACCGTTCACCCCCTCCTGGAGGCGCAGATGTCAATGAATCCGGGTGTTGAAGAAACCCACGACGATAACTGGATATATCTGTCGCTGCGCTGTGTGACATTTTTAGGCGCTGCACCGCTCTCTCAGGCGGGTCCAAATGACCCATACTAATGTGTGGGCACCGGGCAAAGCGCGAAGGGCCATTCGAGAGGCCCGAGCACAGAATAAGATTTGAGGTAATTGTGCTATCGACCTGCATGTGTGATTGGGCCTTGCTTTTCATTCTTTGATCTCTAACATATGTTATTGCAATTTGCACTACTTTTACGCCTCATTGATATATGATCTCGCAGGGAAGCTCTACATAGTGTTGTATGTGAATGACCACGGTGTAGAAATCTCAAGAATGTACATACGTCCTCGGGCTTCATTCCGATCGCTTTCTGTAACCACCCCTCCTCGTCGGTGTCGACCAATATATAGGCAGATTCGTGTGTATAATTGGCGTTTACGATGTGTATCTTGGCTGATTGAAGCTTCTTCATGACATCGGTGAATTCCTGAATACGAATGTCCTTTTCCAAAATAGCAACCTTCGAAAGGATAGCATTCCTCGGTGGGGTTCTGCCGGCGTTGTAGATGAAAAGCACTCCATCCTGCGATGGAGGGGAACCATAATCGGCGGGAAGGTCGGATGACTATTGAGCCCAAGGTATGTATCAGAACGCGTCGAGTTTCGGTGTGCTATCCAATAACGAGCTTACCATGTGTTCACAGCGTCGCCAGAAAAGGTTAGGAATGACGGCCCTCTGGGTCGTTGGACTTTATTCGTGAATGAAGGGCTGGTCACGAGGGAGTGTTGAAGGAATATGGCGTCAGCTCAGCAGAAAGTTGATCTATCGATATCAGTATCAATCTTACTAGCTGGGATGTGCGTGCGATGAGATTTAATCCATCAGTGTGATTCCATATCTTAGATACAACTACGTGCCGCTGTTGACCGTTAACCTAGAAAGCCCCACTCATTCTTACAGCCATGGTAAGCTCATTGTTCGTCGCTACATCGAAATTTGACACATCCTCGGGGCCGATAGTCAGAGTCTCCCAACATTGATTACACCCCTCCAGCGAAAGATGGAGTATTGTTCATCTATAATGCGGGAAAAACCAGAGCCAGAAGCGTCATCCTCGCACAGGAGGACGAGGGTTACGATGTCTGTATTCGAGAGTTCACGGACGCTCTGAGGAATCTCCAAGCGGCCAGAGTGCGCATTGTAAATGCCACTTATAATCTTGAATCTGCATACATCTTGGTCGACTCCCAGGACGAGAACTGGTCGGATAGGGCCTATTCAACCGGATAGGATAGTGAGAGGAGTTGAGTGTATGGCAGTGGTCACTGGTAGTAAGGATGGTATTAATACTTATTAGCAACTGATGTAAATCAATTGATCGTTTGTTTTGATGTCACCCTGATGTCTTCCTTCCTTCCTTCCACAACATCCATTACGATAGATTTGGATCCCACGACATACAGTCCAGCTGTTTAAAGGGCTAATTATTATCGGTAAGAATAATGGGCCTTGGAGGTAGGATAATATGGTCATTAAAATTGGAATTTGAACTTCAGAATATTGACTTGCTACCACAATTTTATAAGCTTGCTCCATCATCCTCTCCTCGATATTTGAACCATGCCTACTCTCCTCTCCCTTCCACCTGAAATCTTATCTCGCATCTTCAGGTATTTTACCCTCGCAGACCATGCCTCCATGTCCCAAGTGCACTCTTCATTCCACGCGCTGCTCACCTCGAACCCCTTAGCATACCACTTTGCATGCCAAGTCGCGGGAGTTGTAGATAACCCGTACTGCGGGCTCGGGCTCTGGGAACGCGCGGGAGCGCTGGAGCGTTTGGAGAGGGGCTGGGGACAGTTACATGGGATATTCCAATTCGACTTCCATACCACTATACGAACTGGCGATAGGATATATAGGCAAGGTGTATCTGACATGGCGCACCAGCCATACTTGAGAGATGGGGTCATCAGTGGACTTATTGGCGATGCGGAGGGGAAGGGCAAGGCAGCGGTGATGCATTGCCTTGCGATACCTATGACGGAGAGCGAGCCTGTTGAATGGCGCAGCATCGATATCGACATAGAGAAGGATGCCCAGGTGTTGATGTATGATGTGAGCGTGTATGATAATGACTTGTTGGTTTTGGCTACGGCGTATCGGTATGTACAGTGCTTTTCTTGCCTTTTGTTTCTTCAATAATGTCTTGAAATATAGTAAGCAGCCTTCGAGCGGCCTTGTAATGCCCTATGTTCTCGAGCTTCGCTTTATGCAACTCTCATCCGGAGCTCCACACCCCGCCGCACAAACTCCCACCCTCGTAGTCGACACAAGCCCCCACGCGTTCCCGACATGTCATTTCCATCTCGCGGGGGACCATTCAGTTGTGAGCGCCCACGATTGGATAAAAGTAATCAATTGGAGGACGAGGGTCCTAAGTATGGTGCGCTGCATACCAATACGTTCTTATTCTTAGTTTCTTATACCATTACTTGTACAGGAAATGAAAGGCAATGGCATTAATAGCGCACCCATCTTCCTCTCTCCACATCTCCTGCTCTTTGCAAACGAAGACCCCCGCGGGCCCTCACTTGACATATACGCGATCCCTAGTGACTCTGACTCTGACTTGGACTCAGAGGTACCAGCCCGCCATAGAGAAGGGCCCGCCACGCCCCTCCTCCGCCTCGCCTTCCCAACCCTCAGGAACCACACCACCATCGACCTGACGTGTACAGCAGACACACGACACTTCAGCCCCCGCCCCACCTCCGTCTCGTCTAAGCCCTTCCATGCGACTCCAGCGAATGCCATCTTCTGTGTTGTTGTTGATCCACATCACAACGCTGAGGACCTTCTATTCATGGTCGTTCAATGGTCTGCGCTCCTTGAGCTTTGCATGGAATTTCAACACCAACGCCGGCTCCAACGGGAATCGGACAAAGACTCGGACTCGGACAAAGACTCGAGTGCCGAGTCGACGGATGCGACGTTGTTGCCGTGGGACACGTGGGGCCCTTCTGTCGCGCGGTAGATCCGTATGTCAGCGGATGCGGTTGGGCCATTGGATGTGCGTGTTGTTGGGCAGCGGTGTGTTGTTCTGCGGGAGGATATTGAGGCTGATTGGGATGCGGGTGGTGCTGGGATTCTGATGAACGTTTTGGATTTTAATCTGAATAGGGTTAGGAAGGTGCAGGTGCAGGCGTGGGGTATTAGTGGCGTGCAGGATGAGTATGAGGGTAAGGATGGGGACGAGGATGGGGACGAGGATGAGAACGAGAACGAGAACAAGGAGGACTCACGTTCCTTCCCTATTTTCCACGAACCAGATACCCTACCACCTACCTACCTCTTCGCACCATCTCAAGAGGTGAAGAGCACCCTCCTGTACGCGAGTACCACTCGACGCTTCCCATCCTGCTGCTCGTGGGAGGACATATGTATCTGCGAGGATATGTTCGTGGTGATCAAGGTATGGATTCAAGTTTCATTCTTACGATTGGCCTTCTGTGTTTACTAAACGGAAATAAATTTCTCTCTCCCTCTCTCTGTGGGTGGCTTGCTATCGTGTTGCAGAGTGACGAAAACCGTGAAAGGGTCATTGAGGTGTTCTATATTGGATCCACGGGGGTTTGAAACCAGTCACTGGCGAGTACGCGCACACGAGCTGGGTTCAGTAAAGCTTATTCCAAGTTATGACGGACGATGATGGTTCTGCAACTCTTAGCATTGGCCTACTACCTCAGTATTCGAACAGCGTATTGGGCAAACAGTCAAGCGTTGATGTGGACATGCGATAGGAAATAGTCGCTCTCGCGTAACTCTTCTCAGTGGATCTTCTGTAAGTCTGGCTCTAACTTTCTGGCGATACAGAGCATGTGTCATCTCTACCTTGAAGTGTACCAGATGGGTTCATAGTCTCCCGGGTGCGTGCTCGACGTGGACAATATTAGCCCTGGACTGTGAAATGAATGTCGTAGTGCCTTGTTGTCTTTCGTAAAGTGAACCATAACTTTGACTGTCATTCATGTGGTGCTGCGCGCAGAATTGAATGGTGAGCGATATTGGGACATGTCATTGTAAATATTAGTTAAGGTCCGACATCGTCACAAGGTGTGTTTGTATGTTCAAACGTTGATATTGTGACTGAATCTGATGGCCTTGCCTTGATCCCGTCTTGTACGCACTGGTTTCCATGGCAGCATCGATAGTATATGTGTTTTACATATGGATGCCAATTTTTGACTCAGAATCTCCGTCTCCACTACCTTGTGCAACTTCAACAACTTGTTGTACTCGAAATTCATCGTGTTCCTTGTCCTCTCAAACTATTGTCATGTTCAAGGATGGATCACGTTGTATTTTGGGCTTTATATACTTTCATGCAAAGGTACTGCAACCTAGCACTACTATCCTTTCCTCGACGCAGCTATGAACTTGGAAGGCGTCACCCTTAGGACAACGCAAACGCCTCCCGACCCTCCACAATTTTCCCCGAAC